GGAGTTCACTTATGCAGCTGAAAGCTGTGCTACCAAATGTAGGGTGAACTTTAAAGTTTTCTGTTGTCTTAGTCAATTGCTTCTAGACTGTTATTAAACATGAGTATATTCTCAAACAGCAACACTGAGACAAAGAAAACAGTCATTTACAAATCCAGTGTTAGACATGAATTTCATAAGAGATGGTGATAATTCTTTCCATTGTTTTTCAAATATTTCTATAGCTTGTAGCATTCAGGAAAATTAAATTTGCCCTTCGAAATGAGGGAAAGTAAGTTTTCTAAATCCTTCCAGTTTCCTGTAGAAAAATAAATCTTCATGTGTATTGAATTTTGGGATTTGAATTATTATCTTTCTGAAGATAAATCTTGAGAAACTTGTTAGCAGATTATTCAGTTTCAGAAAGCTAGGTAGTCACCCATAACCTTTAGTCTTCTGGTTAAAGCTTGTTTCTATTTCCTTGCAGTTGATGATCAAACTTATGCAGCCTTCAGCCTAATCAGGATTGGGCTGTCATGCTTCTAATAATTCATCCATTTCTACAATTATTTAATTACCTGTAATGACCAAGAGCATCCAGAATATCAGATGATTCTCTTTCCTCGAGCCGAGGCTGAAAAGCACTGTAGTGTTTTACTGTATTCTGTTAGGTTCACTAGTGAAGTGCAAAACATGGTTATGAGCATTTATTGGCATTTAATGTGTGGCACAGATGAAATATATATTTGAAGCCTTCTGGATAGAAAATTACAGTGCTGTAATTTCAAAACACTTGAAACATGATTATTTACTGGAGTCTGATTATGGGAGGAAACTCTGCTCTACCTTATTTAGCTTAGCAGTTTTTTGCCTTTGTATACATGCTACCCCAATTTCTGAAAGAATTACAACTTTATCTCCTAGAAATTGTTCAGCTTCATTTTGCCCTTTTATCTGCTGCTCTTCCCACCATTTTTATTTAAGACTGTAAAGTTAGTGTAACTGCTCTTGTCACCTTTGCCCTCAGCTAATCAAATAGTTTACCTTGAGGGAAGCATTTATCTCCCACTTTCATTATTATTATTTTCGTAGCTGTAAAGATATATATTTTATGTCTCCAGAAGGGTGTAACAGTGAAACGAGGTATTGATCTGCTGTATTTGGCAATTTCTTTCCACCTTGCCATCGATATCATGTCAGCCTCTGTCTGTACTGTGGTTGACCTCACAAATAGCTCTTTATGTTCCCATTGGATTCAAATGATATACTATGCTCAAAACTAAATCAATGAATGATTATAAAGTTTTTAGTATTATTTCATAACCCTCAGGCAACTGGTCCTTCATGCAGTGAATACTGGAAAAGGTACCTGATTAAAATACGTTGATTCTGTTCTAAGGTTTAAAACTGTATTGAAATCAAACACCTCATAATATTAAGAGATGCAATTCTTCACTGGCTTAGGATTTTACTTAAAATATCCCACATCTCATGGATGTTCTGTCCTCTGAGTGCAGAAATTTCATGCACTGGATCTTGCCAATGATAAATCATGATTGTACATGCCCTGTATATGCTTAGGGGAGGAAAAAAAAGGAGGTAAAGATCAAATAAAGGTTTTCATCTCCAAAAAGTGAGCTGTAAGTTTAAGCAGCTTTTGGATTGGAAAGCATTGCTATTACTGCCATGTAAACCCATACACTTAGATATGATTTTAACTGGTAAAATACATGTTCAAATGCACATTTAATAGTTTGGGGTTTTTTTACTCTGATGGAAATAGGTAGGAGTTTTGCAAACAGGTAAAGCTTTAGAAAGCCCAGTGTCTACTGATTTTGAATGTGCTCTCTGGATCTGGAAAAATCTTCAGATTCTATTCTGTGTTTACTTCTAGTTTAAATTATGTCAGTGCAGCAAGTAGTGATGCTCTTATGCTTAAAGGAAATACTTCATTATCTGGTATCTAAATCATGTGATGGCAAAAACTGCAGTTAGTAAAATACTGAACTGAGCTATGATGTGTGTGTATGTATGTTATCACTGGATAAAACCAGAACAAACTATTTAGTCTAATGATGCTAGTAGGAGAAATTTTTTTGGGGCTTTCATTGTGAACAATACAAATAAACATCAGGAAAATGACCATTTTCTGAGTTGGAAAGCTTATTTAGAGTCAGAGTCTAAACAGAAATTCTTAAAGAAATGTTTTAAAGAAAATGAGAGTTTGTCAAACATACCACTTTTGCAAGACATTTATGCAAAAAAAAATTGTGGAAAGGTGTTCCAATTAGATTAATTTCAAGTAAAATATTCCACTGTGTATTCTGACTCCATGTAAGTGCCATACTTTAGTATATACTATAAAACCACCAGAAATTATATCAAAGCTCTGATCAGTGTGGAACAGTTTCTGTAAGCTTGGATGTTTTCTAAAATGTAAAAGACCTTTTTTTTAATGTACTGCAGCTGTTATGAACTTGTAAAAAATCAACTTCTGTCTACCCAGGTAGGAGCCAAAACCGAACTTTTTACTATATTTGTTTTTTCAGATAGTGTATTTGTTGATTATAATGTAACTGACTTGACAGAAGGTAAGATCAAAAGGAAGTTCTATTCCCTGCTTTCCAGCCATTCCTATGTCAGTTATTTAGAATACCATGGGTTGAATCAGTTTTGTGGTTCTTTGCATCTGTGGTAATGGGGAAGGGAAACTTTAGGTTTGCATGTTTTACTGTGATGATTAGTTCAGTAGTAAGTTATCTTTTATGGATGTTCATTGCTCTGCTTTTTTGCCTCTGGCATGTGAAATGTAAAATGTGTACCATATTGGTGGTTTGTTTCGTTTTAAACTTCATACAGAAGATGGTAGCTGAGGAAAACTACAGGAACAACTGTTTGTTTGTGTGGACTTCCCCATTCTTTAAACCAGAAGCCATTAAGCTTCTCTATCGTCAAACTTGGGAGGCATCTGGTAGGCGCTGGCTGTCATTTCTTGAGCCTCTGGTGCTGCTCTCCAGGAAAATAGTCCGTGATATGTTCATATGGACGCTATCAATCTTGGTTCAATAGGAACTATTTATGGAAAGCATTTATAAATAGACATAAATGAAATGAAAGCAGATTATGAGTTCAGCCAATGTTTTTATTTCACAGTCTTGTATTTCATTTTAAAAAAACTTCAAAAATCTTTTACTTGCATTAGTAGAAGCTCATATTCCTGGGTGTCTATTTTGCTTGAATGTACCATGGGGAATTTTTTTTAAAAGACTCTCTTCTTCTGAGTTTCTTTGCATTCTTGATATTCATATTTTCAAGTTAGATTCCATAAGCTTTTCTCCAGTATTGTTGTAAAGAATTGTGACTTGTAGGAAATTTTATGACCATGGGAACTGGTACTTTAGAAAACTTGTCATAATCACTTGACTGTAGCAAGTTGTACTTGATGAGAATATATAACAAAGTTCTTAGTGGTGTTATAGCTTAAACTTTACTAATGAACTGTAGATACTGCTCAGCCTTCCCTGAACTGTTTTATGCCTTACGTTAGTGAAGTATTTCTTCACAGAGAAAGTGATTGGGCATTGGAGGTGGTGGAGTTGCTGTCCCTGGAGGTGTTTAAGAAAAGGCTGTCTTTGGCACTTAGTGCCATGATCTAGTTGACAAGGTGATGGTGTCACACTGATGATCTTTCCCCAGATTTACATTTTCTGCTTTAGATAGGACCATCTTGCCTATGTAGAAAAGCTTTGAAATTTCTTATTCAGTCCAAAAAGCGGAATTTTAACTTTATAGTTCTGGCTACCTGAAAGTAATTAAGTGTGATCAGGACAGTAGATTGGTCATTATCTATATTTTCTGTGATTTGGTAAGTGTTGATACTATGACTTGTGCAATAGAACATACAAATGTAATGCCTACAAAAAGGAGTTTGTGCTCTGTGTGTGTCTGTGTACGTGACAGACACATGGGTTTATTCTTTATGATCCAAACATATTCCTCATAAATAATGACAATTCATTTTCTCTTCGGTTTGCAGAACACAGTTTGTGATTAGGGTCTTTAAAGGCTTGGTGTCACGACGGAAAGTGGTCAAAGCAGTAATGTCAGAGGCAGGAGGATGCCAGTGACCCAGTGAAAGAAACAAGCACTTTGCATGTTGATCTCTTGTGTGAGAGGGCAACGTTTGGCCCTGTAAGTGCAGGAGAGATGGACTGCTCATGAACGGGGCACAGAGAGCTAACCCAAATGATCCTTTGTCAGCCTGATTAAATTTAGTGTCAAGCGTTCATTCATATGAAAGATGAGACACGTCACTGTTTATCTAATACAAAAAAGTATTTCTATTTTTCCTGAAGTCTTTTATATGTTAATAGAGGTAAACGTGACCATGATCACATAATTTAAATGTGTAAGTAAAAAATATACATCTTTACTGGCAATGGTTTAAAAGTAAGATGTATATGTTTTATGCAAAATAATGCAATTTCATTGTTAATCATGCTGTTCAAGCCATAACTCCACACAAAACAATGCTTTTAAACAAACAGAATATACCATTATTGGGCCATTTATAACAGAAATGCTTAGAATATTTAGAGTCTGATGCAAAGTATTTATTTTGTATGCTTTAATGTATGCTTCTGTGGTGATATTAATATACAAATGCAAAATTAAAATTCCAGGTATTAGACCTAATTGTAAGGTGTTAGACTCTGTTTTTTAATACTAGAAGAAACGCTAGTGTTTAGAATAAGGATTACAACAGATGTAATTTTGGAAATAAATGCAGGCATACAAGAAAATGGAAGAATTTCTTGTGAAATAATTGAACTTCAAAATATTTAAAGAACAAGAGGGGGAAAAGTTTAGATGTCTTTCCCCTCACTCTTCCTACCCTGCCAAGTGTGGCTTGCTTAAAAGAGCTGCTGGGAGTTCTGTTTAATCTTATACTTTGCATGCATTTGTGATTTGAAATAAAAAAAAAATAATAAAAAAGCCAAATTTGAGACAGTTTGAATGGCACGCTGTCAGTTTGGCTCTTCGTGAATTGGCAGTGGTCTCATTTAGGACCTTCAAATATGTGTCTGCCTGGACAGAATGAGAACATTTTGCATGTTCTTGAGAAGACAACCACTCCTTGCTGCCTCACAGTACTCAGTGGTGCATGACAGTTGCCCTTCATCGCTGTCTTCTTCGAACTTAACCTTTGACCGCCCACTTTGTTGCCGCGCAACGGTTGGAGCAGGCCAAGATGTTCGTGAATGACGGGCATTGGCCTGCAACGTGCTTGTCATTATTTGACTGTCAAAAGTAGCCTGCCATTGGGCTCCATCAAGGTTTGAAACCTATGTGCAGCAGTCCATATTACTTAACTTCCAAGACTGTCAACAGGATGATCAAATGTGCATAGAAAATGTGTGTTGAATATGTCTTTGATCATAATATAGGGAGATATTTTTTGTGTGTGCTAAATGTATTCATATGAGTTTCACAGGGCCAAGAGGTTGATTCTGCTGCCATGGTAAAAAGTGAACTGTTGTCTCCTGTGGTCTAAGTTTCAAATAGCACAATTTAGATTTGAACAGCTCTGCCAGTTAAACTCTCAGCTTGTCTTGCGTATCCTATCAGCTTTTCAGCCAGCAGTATAAGCAGTGAGATACCAGACCAGTGGTGCCTGAGGTTAGCTGTCAAACTGGAATGTTATTTTGGATCTTGCTGTAATGTAATATCATAGAAGGAGGTCAGGCTGTGTGATTTGTAAAGCAGTCGTGCAAACTTAAAATGACTGAAATGTTTATTTCAGGTACTTTTTTTTCCATCTAAAAGAGTTGATGAGAAAATAGAATTCATCATACAAAAAACCAAAGGCAATATAAAATGGTCATTTTTTATCTCTCGAGTATGGAATATAGTGCATAAAAGAGCATCAAAATGCAACATGAGGAGCCAGGCTGATATTCACTAAGTAATAAATGCTTGACATTGAAAATATTTAACCGGCAGGTACCTGTGTGAATTCCAAAGAGATTTGGGATGAACCTCGTGCTTAATTTAATGAATGGGAATTGTACCCTTGGGTTAATTGTGAATATAACCTTGGTGTATAGGTACATCACTTATGCAATCTATCATATATCAGCAAATTCTTTGAATTGCTTCCTGCTTGGAAATGTCATATCCCACTTTAGTGGAATATTTGCTATTCACTTGGGCAACATCTACCTGTAACTGAAGTTTATTTTATTGGATTTAAAACCTGTCTGTTTTCTCTCAAAATATATCAGTTCCTTTGTAATTGAAATGGTATATTAAAATGACATCACAAAATATAATCTCAAGAAAACCAGAGATTCACTAGAGCTTGTTCGTAATGACTTCTTTCCAAACCAGAAAAGTAGCATTATCTTGCAAACTGGCTATAAAATTACTTTTTTTTCCCTTCAAGTTTCAAAACATCTTCATGCTAATAAAGTAAAAACAGTAGAATCATAGTAGTGGTTATTGGTTAGATTGCTTAGAAACAAAAACATATTATTTTCATAATCATTTTGCCCTCAATGTATTTTCTGACCCAGGTTTTATTTTTTCTGCTCACAGTATCATTTGCAAGAGTCATCAGTTCAGAAGCAATGATCTAAAATACTAGATTGTGTCATGGAGATATTTTTGGTCCTCTTGCTCTGAATGATAAATGCTGTTGCTGTTTAATAGCCCAACTCTTTTAGTCTTTGCCAGTGTGTTGACATGTGGCTACTCTGAAATAGAGTATAAAATGCGTGCATGCAGGTGTTTGTTTGTGTGCATATGTGTACATGGATGTCATATATGTGCAAAATTCTTTGGTGAATGGTCTGTTATTAAGATATTAAAACTTTTAACCTGAAAACTCTTTATCCTGCCCATGAAGTTGCTGTAAGTTTTGGTTTAAGTTTCCTCTCTCTGGAGAAATGTATATGTATGAAAGATGCTTTTGTGAAGAAGGACTAAATTTTAGAAGTGTGTAAATATGCAAACATGCAATCATTTAAGTACATTTAAGTAGACAAATAAATAATGAGCATTTAAATAATGAGCCATTTTGTTGGTTTGTATGGTCTCTGAATTCAGAATTCCTTTTCAGCCTCCACAGTTTAAAAAAAATGCTACCGAAATTACAGAAAAACTGACTCGATCATTTTCAAATAAAGGAATGTTATTTTTCATTCCAGAAAAATGTTGCTCTTTCTTTCACTGTACAAATGAAGGTTTATTTGCTACTGGGAGGTAATAATACTCTTTTTAGTTGTGTTACTGAGGGAGAAAGCACAAATTTAGTCTTCTTCAAGCACAAATTTATTTTTTCACTTGAATTATGGAATACGTGTTCCTCCTCTTACCAGAGGCTGTTTTTTTTTCCTCTTTTGAAGTAACGTTTTGCACTCATGTGTAGAAGAAACTAGGCATCCTTATGCAGTTCATTGTGTATTCATATCTTTATATTTTTCCAAATGGAAGTACTCCTGTGAATTCTGTCCAGTCTGTGTCATAAATAAGACTTTGCAGTGTTTTTGCTCTTGCCCTGCAGATCTTTTTTATCTTATCACTATTTTAAAAAGGATCTGGAGAAACCTGTTTATTAACATAAAATGCAATAAAAAGTAAGCTCTTGTTAACTATTAGGAGCTGGTGTCTTTTCCCATTGCCTTAAAAGATAAAAGAGGCACTATGAAAGTGTTTTCTAACTTTCTTTAGACATTAGAATTTGGAAGTGAAAGCACAGTGAATAAAGATGACAGCCATTAAGTGTCATTATTTTCTTTTGTGTTCTAAATCAAGAATATCCTGGCTGAAAGCAAAATGTTTTAATCAAGCAAAGAAACTTCTGAAAGGATTCTCAGGATGGCAGGAGGTGGGTGTCCATGTGCTTTTTATTTCAACTTCCAAAAGTGTTCAAAAACTGCATAAATGTATTTGAGAGGTTAAACATCCATGATGCTCTGTGGTGTTAGAGGAACAAAATAAATCCTATTTCCCAAAATAAAAGAGGTAGATATCTTAAGGGAAGTGTTTTGTTGTTACCTATACCCTCTGCAATACAAATATCAGCTTGTCACAAAGGTTGAGACCTTTGTAGTGCATTCTTGCAGGGAACAAATCTGTCTTCTGGCTTTAAGGTAAGAGCTGTGAAATATCTGTATTAGGTAAAATAGAGGTTAAGGCACCTTAAGGGCACTGAATTCTTATCTCTTTTTACTAGCAGGGGTGTCAACATGTACTAAAATGTGATGACCTACTGTCCTCTTTGATAAAAAGGAAAATGACCTGTCTACTGTGGATGGTGATAGAGCTGCCTGGGGCAGATTACAGTGTCACCTTCTTTAGTACTGGTGTGTAGGAAAATAAAAAAGGCCAGGATAGTTCTGTTTACTGCAGAAATATTTGACATTTCTAGCTACTGATAAAATATACTCAGGGGTAGAAAGAAGAAACTGGTTTACAGTACTAAACAAGGTTATGAAGAAAGGCAGAGACTGTTTATTGTGTGAACCCTTGGTATCAAGAGATTCCTTCTGACCACTTCAGACACTCACGGTTCAAGTTCTGCATTTAACCCTGCTCACTCCACTTGTCCAGGGCCTTTTGGTACACAAAAGGCTGACATGTCTTGAGTCACGTCTTGAAATTCTGATGTACCAGTGGACTGTGGTACTTAGAGTATTTAATTATGGACTTAGTCGATACAAGTAACAATATTTATTGTATTCTAGAAATAATTGGTGTCACATTCAAGACCTTTAGTTGGTAGCATTCCAGAGCATTTATGATTTGTCACAGTTAATTTAGAAGTTGTTGTTAGTCATTGCCTATTGCTGTGATGAAATATATATAACTTAAGAGAGTTGATTTAAATTGTAGAGCTGGAACATCTCAAACAGTTAAATGTACTTTAAGCTTTAATTAATACTTCTTTGCAATTCTGTAAAGGAAGGTGTGCTTCCTACTAATCAGAAACTGGACTTAAGGATGAAGGAAAGATTTCTGTTGCACTCTTCATCAATATTTGAGTAGATTGGACTTCAGTATTTCGTCATGTTTTGCACAATGACAATGAAATTTTGATGTCTCATGTGACTTCCTTGTATAATAATCTTGTCTCCCGTTTGCAGAAATAAATTTTACAAGTTTTGATGTTACAGGTATGAGACTCCAAGGGAGTTCTGTTTGACTTCCTGTTGCCAGACAGATACTGGTTTTTACACTGTTTAAAAACTGAAATCTATGCCCAAAATGTACCCAAAATGAAATCATAAGTGAACATTCATGAGAGACACTGAAAAGGTTTCTTTAAAAGGCGTGGGAGCCTTTCTCAAAAAGTGTAAACCCCATAACTTTGGTCTAGGTTTGGCTCTTTGCAGGTCAAGCTCAAAAAGTTGTTTTTGGCCTAAAGCTCTAAGTATGCATGAAAAAGGTAGAAATATGTTGTTGGTATTGAGTTTAATGTCAATAGAAGATGAAATTTAGAAAATCAATATTAAGGTATTTAAATCATGTCAGTGAAGTGTGTCTTGTTAGATCCTGAAAATTCTGACGTTATGTTCTTTAACAAGCCCATTTATTTTTCATCTTTTTTGTTTGTTTCATAATTAGTGGGGGATTTGCTGTTGTTTTCTTGTAAATATTTTTATTCCAAGGATATAATAAAGTTCCTACAGGAAAATTATGGAGTTAAGTCAGTAGTGAAGCTGGGCAATGACCAGTGAAGGAACAAAATAACTCAAGGAGGAGAGACATGCTGAAAGATAAAATACTAAGGCAATGTGATATTTTGGGAGAAAGATTAGATAAGGAGAAAATTAACATAGAATTGAATGAAAATCAATAAAAAGTGAGTTACAAAGCCAGACATCTATTGTATTCCTGTGTAATATTCTAGCATTTATTTGAAATGTAATGAGTGACTGTTGTGTACTGTATATATAAGTGAATTTACATGTGTGGTTGGTTTGCTGTTTAAGAGAGGCTGTTTGGCAATGTAAGTACATCAAATTTTTTTCAAGCCAAGTTATTTTTCACTTGGGCATCTGCTAATTCTTGTTTTGTGAGGAATAGTGGGGGAGAGTAATTAATTGATAGTGAGGAAAAAAAAGGAGAGTTTTTTTCAAAGCATGGAATGTTAGCATAGCTACTAGTAATAAAAATGAAAAAAAAGCCAAACAAATAGTTGTGAAGAATATGTGACCTGCTCATGCATAAGTACGTGCTGGACCTTGGCCATTGGGTCCTTTAGAGAGGTACCTTGCTGAAATAGTCTGAACTGCTTAGATTGGTTTTATTATTCTTAGAAAATCTCCTTTGCATATGGAATCTTCTCTCCTGTTGTGGTCCTGGGCCTAACCTCTCGTTTCTAACTTAGTTTTGAAGTTCTTTGAGAATTCCAAATTTCATCTGTGTGTGCAAAATGGCAGAGGTTTGCATGTGTAATAAAAGCTCAGTGACTTCTTGACAGTGCCAGTGGTGTGATTAATTCCTGTGCATAATATATTCAGTCATCTATGCATATGCAGTGACAATATAAGCAAAGGGGAATGAAGGATCCCTATGGATGATGTCTAGGGGAGAGCTCTTGTCTTGCTCTTGTCAAATGTTTGTCCCTCTCCAGGTCCCCACAGATTTCTTTCTCCTTCGGCTTTATGCCAAGGTACCATCTTCCCCATCTGGTCAGTATCAGGAAGGTGGACCACACCTCAACCTCTTCCAGCACGTGCTGGCAAGTTTGTGACTCTTGGTAGAGTGGCAGAAAATAGAAGAAAGCTGGGATTTTCTTAAGGAGCTTTTATCTAATAACCCCTGGGTTATTGAGTCTTTTCCTGTTAATGAATTGCACTGTTTGCAGAAAATCATGCTAGATGTTTGACTGAAGCAATTTTTTATCAGGTGATGTGGTGCCTCATATCCCAAATATTAGGCCCTTGGTTTCATTTATTCTTAGGAGTGATCCAGACTTCTCTTGGGTAACCTTACAGTGTTAGTCAGTTGTGTTTGTAGCATGCCACACTTTTTTTTTTCTTTTTTTTTTTTTTTATGTTTCTACAGATAATTTCTAGGATTATTCCATAAACAGTAGTAGTCAAAATGTTAAGATTTTTAACTAGGATCACCAAAGCTCTCAAACTAGAAAGTTACCTCACTATCTTTTCTTACATGAGCAGTTGCTCTTGCAGGCTCTAAACTGGGATTACGTGGTGCCTGTAAATGTTAACAAGAAGCCTTAGAGAACTTCTACTGACAAGCAGTGTAGCTTTATGACATTATGCTGGCAAAACTCTGTATGTCATGTTTGTATCTACATAGCTGGAAAGGTATAGTGCATTTTGCTAGCTGTAGTTTTTAGGCAGGTATGGTGATTTGATGTCATGCTGCACATATTTCTGTATCATAGGAAACAAAATACTTGTATCTCATTAAATTAATAAATCAAGTAGATTTTGTAGCTGTGTTTTAGTAACTGGAAAAAATATAATTTAAATCCTGGCTGGTTACCAATGTTTATCAGTGATGAAAAATTACAGATTAGTCTGTGTCTCTATAATCAGAACATTTACACAATGGATATATTGTTACAGTTGTCGTTTTAGTTCTGATTATTACTCAGTATGTCTATTGCAATTTTCTCATTTACAGCTGTTATTGAGCTCCATGTGTAATAGATGGAATTACTATGTCTACCATTTATTTAATGAATAGCCTACAGAAACATTAGTGTTAATAATATTATCCACTTAATGTACACAACAGTTTATAATATGGATAGATGAATAATGTGTTGCACTATTTAAATTTTATTGGAATGAGATAAATAGATCTAGTGCATTTTTGTTCGTAAATGCGATGTTAGAGTTGTCTGGAGGATTAAAAAAAGTCAATTCTAAGTAAAGTGATTGCAACTAGTCTGTTATCTAATATATAAATAAAATAGTTTAGACTTAAAGCTCTTCTTTTGTGGGGGTGGGATTTGAACCAAGAGGAAATTTTTCTTTTTATGATAAGTGTGTCAGCTGCTCAACTTTGTTCTTAATGGGGGCTATTCTGCTAATAAGGAGAACTGGGCTGGAAAACTAACAATTTGGTTTCTTTGCTCAGTAGCAAGCAAATGTATATGAGACATGTATATTGAACAGAATTAACTGAATTTACCTATATGGTAGATATGGCATGCAACTCCGATTAAATAGCAAAAATAGCAGCCTCTGTAGTAAGCAAAGTGAGGCCTTGTCCAATGCAGGACCACCAGAGGACTGCAGAGAGCTGTCTGGTATTTTATCACTAGTTCTCAAAAAATACTTGGTGTTTCAGAGAAGGTAAAATATGTGCCTTGCATACACATGCTTTTCTTCTGACCAGTTGTACAGTGTTGTGATTTTCTTCCTTACAAGAATGTGTTATGTGTTACTTATTTGGGTCCATCTATAATTCTATTGCAATGTAAAGTAATTTGCTTCCATCTTGTATGTGATTATTTTCTCAAAAATGCAGAGCTTTCTAGAAGTTCTGTAACATATCACACAGGAAAAATAGCACAAAATTGATATTTTAGCAGAATAAATAGTTTCGGTACCTTCAATGTTTTCTCTGGTTACTCCATCAGTTCTTTTCACAGATTTTTTTTTTTTTTCTTTTTTGCTTACGACTGAAAAATTACATCAAATGCAGGATAACAGAACACTGTCAAACTAAGAAGGTTTTATATGGACAGCATTAGACAGGAGCAGAAAGATCCAGTGCACTAATAGGCACGCTCACATGAGCTACCTAGTCCATTGACAGTTTTTTCCTTTGTTCTCCCTCTCGACCCACTTTCTGCCAGTGATTTGTGACATATTTTGTAAGAGATCAAATAAGCCCTTGACA